GTTTAAACGTAGACGTTTCTTGTCTATTAGCTAAATTCAACACTGCACATCCATCAATGAATTTTTTTAGTGAAATCGAAAGTGGGGGAAAAGGGCCTTTCTGGACGTTATGTTTGAGCGACGGAACGATGGCTATGTAGAGAGAAACGTTTTCTGGAAAATTCCGTGGATCGGCTAAAACAGACATTTTAGGCCTTGTACATATGCAGCACAAAGGAAACTTAATTTATTGCCTGCATTGTTGTGCCGTCAGAATCCGTGGTCCGAAAACGCTGGATGTAGAGAAAGGTTGTAGCTTCGGGACATCGCAAGAGAACGGATTCCATGTTTCGTTTATCAAAAAGCACGCAACTGTCTGGATGCGTCTGGAAACCGTCATCACCGTACCATAGAAGCAGGTGCTTCTCTTAGTCCCATTCAAAAGTGATGCTGCCTTTGGCTTACAAAGAGAAGACTCACAGTCGTAGTGGCTAAAAAAAATTACCTAGCCACCAGCTACCCGCGTGTGCTAGTCAAGATCGCTCCCTTTAATATACAACGCCTCAAGTACAGACTCCGGAACCAGTACAAATCCTACATTCTCCATCAACTTACTTGCGTCGGTGGTGTAAGGTACCTTAGACACAGGACTCGGTGTTTAGCAAAACGGGTGACAGAACACTGCCCCGAGTCGCTACGAAGAGGCACTGCTAGAAGCACTAACAACGCTAGCTTGGAGCATTTGCTCCTATGTGGACATGAAATCCGATTAACAGATAGGTTCAAGGTTTTGAGCTCCATGCTGCTACGCTTCCCTAAGAAGCTCAGAAAGCGCCTACTGAAGACGGTTGAGTCAATCGCTAGCAGACTGCTCCAGCCAGAATTCTGCTAGCAAAAAGATCGCACACAAGCCCTCCTCTTGTCTCGGCTCTGCGGTAATTCCTCGATGTTGGACAATGGTAGTGTAATGTCGACTGTATAGCCTGCCTCTAGGGAATGAACGTACGTAAATATCCAAAGTATTGGCCTAGTTCAAACAGCAGCAGCCTTCAACCCAGCTTTCAGTAGCATACTGTGGTGCCCGTTTCTTTCACATACTTGTAATGGCTTGAGAAATAATGAAAAGGGAACGCTGCGCTAATTGGACTTCATGGAATCCTACTTCTTAATTTTTCTCCACCTTTGCTCTCCCCCGCTTGTTACAGAAGACTGCGAGGGATTGTGTGCTCAAAGATAGCAAACTGTGGCGCTTACAACATCATTGAAATGTGCTTCGAACCGATCGAGAATTCATAATTTCAGAAGGGTAAGAAAACAACCAGTTGATAGTTGGAGAGCAACATTGCGCTTTTGACACAAAAGCTTCGTCAAGCAAAGGGGACTAGTGGGAGTTCAACGCAGATTTTATGGCAGACTGCAGGCCCGCAGCCTTAAGGATCCTAAGCCTACCTTGTAATCTTAGGGCGCGGGTTCGAGTCTGCATAGGGACCAGGCGACCATCGCAGTATCCTTACACTATACGTGAGTGCTGATCGTTGGGCAGTAGCGAAGCTTCGGTACTGCGTACCGGCGTACTGCTAATGTCCTTTTATGGCAAAATGGGACAATAATCATGATGTTCGAAATGTAAGTAGGAGGGGAATCATATTACAGGTCATAGTATCAGTTATGTATAAATAAATCGTAGATTCCCCGATGATGCGAGAAGATGTACACTGGGAAGTAGAGATAAAACTGTGGGGCAATTTCAGAGGCGGAGTCCGATCGAGTTATGCATTTTACTCAGTTGGATCGTCTGAAGACTTCGACACTGACCTAATTATTAGCGATAGTTGACCTCTTGTAAACTGATTTTCCTCCGTTTTAACGACGCAGTAGTCTGTCTAATCGATGTACTTGGTATATATACTTGTACTTGGTATATATATTAAATTGATGAAGAATTATCGAATACGTATGGTCTCTAATACTGACTTTTGATTATCTTAATGGGTTACTTTAAACCTATAAAACGCAACTTGGATCCACCTGTTTTGAAACTGCTCAACAGATATGTGAGCTACCGGACCAGGATAGCAAAGGCGGATATATGTCTCGGTTTTATTGAAGGCTGCATAGAAAGTGATGTGTACCCATCTAACTATTGGAAAACACTTCGTCGTTCACGTACCAGACCAGACGGCAGAAGTTTAAAGCGCCTAGTAATGCGCAAGATGGATACCTTGAGTGCCAAGACAGAAGAATTGAAACGTGGCAGGAGTCAATGTAACACTGCACTAGCCTCACTCACAACGAGAGACAAGACGGAGCTTGAGGGAACGATTAAGGCCGTCATCACGAAACAACGAATGAAAGTATGAAATTCGCTTTCTAAAGCACTGATAGAGGAGAAACCTAGGACTTTATTTCCAACCAAACCAGAAAGGTATGTCACCAACTTATCATTCCTGGTACTCGATCATATTACGGTTGGGGCCTAAGTTCTTTCTTCTTAACAGAAGAGATAACATAGTAGCAATTGAAGCTCAGATCGAAAAGGTATTCTCGCAGACCCCACAATTAGCTCCGACCTTCAGTTTACACGTAGAAGAGTTTAATCTGTCACTAATGCAGGCATGTTTTCAGTATCGTCGTGCCCGGATAACACACCAAATTCCCATGAAGCGAGAGCATATTAAAGCTTTAGATCGTCTTGCCAATAATGATGTGATCTTGCTTTCTAGACCAGAAAAAGGCTCGGGTATCGTCATTATGAACAAAGTGGTTTTCCTTAATAAGATGTACGACATATTGGCAGATTCGACGAAGTTTTCGAGGACAGTGGGCGAGAAAGACATGACAAAACAATCAGTGAGTCATATCTGCAAATGCCTCATAAAGCTACAAAACGAGCGTTATCACTATAGAGTTTTATGATTATGTGCACCCTGTGGGTACGGTTATTCCTATGCTCTACTGTTTGCCCAAAATGCACAAGGCGAACTTCCCGCTGAGGCCGGTCTTGGATATTAAGCATCCACCTTATCACTACCGCACGGTGGCTAGTTGAGATACTTGATCCCATCCGAGAGAGGATAGCAGCGCGTAGCTTGAAGGATAGCTTTTGAATTTGTAGAGGCAGTAAAAGATGTCAACCACTCGGGTCTAACCATGTGCTCTCTGGATGTCTCCTCATTTTTCACTAATGTACTGACATTTGGGAGAATAAATTACATCTATGAATATGTTGACGGGAGCGGGATTAACGTCGGCATACTCACGGTGGCCTTGAAAGAACTGCTGTTTAGATGCACATTTAACGTACAATTTGTATTTAACGGGGAGATATACCGATAGCAAGATGGAGTGCCTATGGGTTCGCCACTTGGGCCAATACTTGCTGATATCTTCATGGGCATGCTTGAAAATGGGAATCTAAAATCAACCATCGAAAGTTTTAACCTCTACCGCCGTTATGTTGTTGAGATAGTTGTGATGTTTCAGTCCACCCAGAATATTGAAGATATCATCAACACTTTGAACAGAGCCCATAATACAATACACTTCACCTCGGAGGTAGAGGAAAATGGCTGTTTTCACTTTCTGGACGTGGGCCTAAAGGGACTCGATAACGGGATATTACAGCGCCACGTATATAGAAAATATTCGTGGAACGGCCAGTAAACCAACTTCCACATCTTCATGCCAACGATGATGAAACGGAATTGAATTCATAATCTGGTCAGTAGAGCAGAAAGAATCTGCTGGCATGATACACTTGCAGTTGAACTACAGCGAATAAGCTCGTTGCTGCGGGAAAATGGTTATTCAGATCATTTCATAAAAGTCCACGTGGAGAAGGGCATGAACACATCGGTTGTTTTAACAGCCAACAGAAAAGCTATTTCTTGCAACACCCTTTTGCCTTTGAGGGAATCGCTGCCGAAATTCTTACTCGCCGTCTATCACAGGAGCTTAGACGGACGTTGCCAGCAACAAAATTATATACCTACTTTACCAGCACACCGATGGTGAAGTTCAGTTTCAAATATAGTAGACCTGTTCACGACAACTCTATGTGCATCTAAGCTTTTACCAGTTCCTGTGGTTCAGGATACATTGGTGGTACGAGTAGGTGTCTATCCGAGAGAATGAAAGAACACCGTCCGGCATGGCTAGCGACCGGATGCAGAAGGTTATGTAACGCAGCCATAGCTGCCCACCTTGCCGACGCAGGTCCTAACCCTAGGCCAGTCGAAGCATTCCAAATTATCTACAAGGCCCCGGATAATCAGTCGAAGTATATGCGCAGACGGATACTAGAAGCCGCTGAAGCTACCACAATCCGGTTGTATGAAACAAATTTGTGCACTCAGAAGCGATTTGTCCAAACCTTACAACTGCCCTGCCCCGATCAAGTAGTGATTTTTACTCAGTTGGCTCGTGTGAAGACTCCGACACTGACCTGATTATTGGCGATAGTTGACCATTTGTAAACTGATTTTACCCCGTTTTAACGACTCAGTAGTCTGTCTAATCGACATAATTGGTATATAGTTGTCCTAGCCTGATGCAGAATTATCGAAAACATATGTTGGCTAACATTGACTTTTGATTATACTTGGAAAACGTTTCGTTGTTGAAAGACAAGATATGTTGAGCACTGATGTGATTTTGACTTCTCTGCTGCAACAAGTCGTCGTACAGGTTAAAAGGACTGCACAAACAAACACACCCACACACTCAGCACAGGAATATTGTTGAATATGCACAGCGGGACCTGCGTACAGTGTTGTTTATGATGTTATAAACAAATTTTGTTGCTTCTACTTTTGCAAATTAATGCTGTAAATTCAAATTTAACTATCGCGTTAGTGCAACAAAATGTCTGATTATGCTCACAGCTCAAGCAGCTGGGCGGTTCTCGTGTTCTCGAGCAGTTCGGATCGAATTATGCATTAGCGAGTAGTATATGAACAGTTGGACGAACATGTGTAGAACCAAAGGAGCAGCATTAAAAGCAATCCGAGGATAAAACGAACCCATTATTTGGACTTCAACATGTCTTGGCCGTTCGAGAAATTTTTCAATAAATAAAGCACCATCTCCGAAAGCTGCCTTCGCTTCAGAAGTAGCAAGCTGAAAATTTTGTTCCAAATCCTAGAAAGCGAAAGTCAAAGGAAATTTTCAAGTAATTAAATCAGAAGCACAAAAACAGAAATAATGGCACAGCTCAAGAAATCCTCAGATTACATAGCGCTTCAACAAGAAAGCTGTTCGTGTGAACTTCTCAGAAATTTATACAAAAGTATAGCTTTAATATTAAAGTATAAAGCACCTGGATAGTACTAAGCGACATGCAAAAAATGAAGGAGAAAAATCGAGCATATGCAGTACCAAATCATTTTGTAATACCTAGCCCGGAGTGTGAAAACTGTTAGAGAAGATAATAACTTACCTTCAGATCGCGTACAACTCTCATGCCGCGCCCACCTCCTCCAAAAGCCGCCTTGAGAATAATCGGCAGACCATGTCTGTTACTGAATTCCAGCGCTTCTTTCACCGTTCTGACCGGCCCGGGACTTCCGGGGACCACCTACATGGCGATGAAAGTAGTTTACTTAGAAGAATGACGATTACCTTAATGAGTGATACAGAAATGGAAGAACAGCAAGCATTTTAAGAAACAAAAGGGAATAAAAGGATTTAGCAGTACGCTGGTACGCAGTATCGACACTTCGGTGACAAGCAACCACCACTAGTCACGCGTGGGTCGCTCCGTCCCATACGCAAACTCGAACCCGCCCTTCTGGTTACAAGACAGGTTTGTGATAAATTCGGCCACGGACCTGTACAAGGAAATAACTGCAGGTGACTCTGCTTATATCCACATGAAACCCTAAAGAGTACACTACCCACTCAACCCTGAGTACGACTAGCCCAACATAGTGGTCCATGTAGCGATATAACTTTTGAGTGAAAAGGAAGTTATTCTCCGGACCGCGAGAAAGCAACTGCAGTCAAACGACAGAAATAGTGCTTTACATTTACGAGTATTTGCACAAGATATTGATCCAGTATACTCACCGAAACGTTTGCATCAAGTGCTGCTTGTCTGGCCTCAACTTTGTCGCCCATTTTTCTGACAACTGCAGAAGACGGTCCGATGAATAGGATACCCGCATTTTCACAAGCCTCGGCAAAATCAGCCCGTTCACTGAGGAATCCGTATCCGGGATGTATAGCATCCACATCGTGGTCCTGAGAATGCGGTAGCAAGAGGAAAAATGAGATACAATCAACCATACGCAATGCAGTGACCAGTAGTCCTTCAAACAAAAGGGGCAATCTGATTGGAATGTGGACGGAAGTTATTTTGGGTCAGCCACCAGCCACGTTATATATATATATATATATATATATATATATATATATATATATATATATATATATATATATATATATATATATATATATATATATATATATATATATATATATATATATATATATATATATATATATATATATATTCATACATTCCAGTTTGTCGCAACACTTCCGTGTCAGCACATCCCGCGGGTACATCGTCCAGCTTCACTGTCGTATAGAAGAACGGACAGCACCATGCATTTGTACACCATCAGCTTCGTGCCAATGGTAAGCTGATGGTTCTTGCACACTCGGTAATCTAGCTTCCCGAGTGCCACCGCTGCCTTCGACTTGCGGATACGCAGTTCACTGTGTATCTGCTGATCAGTCGACATCACACTCCAAAGGTGGCAGAAACGGGAGGTGGTTACCAATACGTCACCACCAATGCTGATTTGCGGCAATATTGAAGATTGCACTTCTGGTAAAGGTTGAAAGAGACAGACAGTTTTGCTTGTGTTGATGGTGAGCCCGAATTTTGCCAAAGCTAGAGCCCTAGCCATGTGCTGCAACTCATCCGCACTGTGTGCAAACGCACAGTTGTCAGCAAAAAGGAACATGCGGAGAGTTGTCTCACAGACTAGAGTTCTCGCACCGAAACGACGGATGAGCAGCAACCCACAATGCATATGATGCTCCACATGAACACCGTAAGCACAAGCCGCATCAAACGCACATGACATGATGGCATGAAGATAAATATTAAACAGGGCAGGAGTTAAGACATAGTATTGCTTCACACCAGAGACAACTGCAAAGTCATCCGAGGTCTCTCCACTCAGCTGCACCCTCGCTCGCATACCACTGTGCAGACAATCAGGAAAACTTACAAACTTACGCGGGCAACCAAACTTACCCAATACCAGCCACAATGCCTCGTGGTTCAACGTATCAAATGCCTTGGTGAAATCAACAAAAAGCGAGTACAACGGCTGGTGTCGTTCTCTGCACTTGATATATATATATATATATATATATATATATATATATATATATATATATATATATAAAGCGGACGGGCCAAGGGTGCGCCGAGGCTTGCGGTGGCTAGATCTTGGCAGGTAGTCTACCCACTGCTGCTACTGTTGTGCCATTTGCTCATGTCCTGGACGCCTCTTCGTGGCGACCGCTGGGTGGGAGCTGGGTTTGGCCCTTCTCCATGGTATGATCCAGGGAACCAAACCGCATGTGTTAGTGAACTGACCATGTGCTAGACCCGCTGCCTTTCGGATGTGCATTTAATCGAAGGCTTTGGCTGCAGACCCGAGTCGTTCTCCTCTTTTAGTTTTGGTCGCCATGCCGGTATCCTAGTCCATCCACTTGGAGGTTAGAAATTTGCTGATGGCCCTCTTCCCGTAAAACCTATCCATGGAAGACAACAAGTCTAGGGGTTATAAGCTCATAGCTCGTTTGGCGTAGAGCACGAGTGCCACGCATTGTCTCTGACGGTGGGAGGGCACTTCTGGGTGCTCAATGGTTTGCTACTGGCCGGCTCAAGCCAGGCAGCGTCTGGTCAAATTGGTGCAACCCCCCCAAAACCCTCCTGCATCACAGGTTCGTATCCTACTACGGTAGCAGAACATATATAAATCGTACCAGATCTCCAAAGCCTGAAAGAGACGGATCTCAAGCAGATCCCACTGTCTCTCTAATCACATTCCCGAGATGGATCTGCTCTCCACTGTCTTGTGGGTCAGGCTATTGAGCCAAAGGCTCCGGGTGGAGTCCCTCAAGCTAATCTCCGAATCATAACCGCCACTTAGCGTGCGATTGCCCACGAATGCAATCGTACGCCTGCGCGCAATGCACTCAAGAATGGTTGCTGGAAAGTGCGCACACTACTGGACCGGAACTCGAGTGAGCGCCCCGAGCCACACACTGCACTGGTTGCGATGGAACTGGCTTGCTACAACATCTATATTGCGGCGCTCAGAGAGACTCGGCTCGCTGAGCAAGGTAAGTTGGATGAATCAGGTGCTGACTATACGTTCTACTGAGTGGGAAAGGCCAGCTCAGCACCATGTGCACATGGGATCGGATTTGCGATACCCAGTGGCGTAGATGGCCAGTAAGTGGATGAACCAACAGGTATCAGCGCGCGACTGAGGACTGCTCGCCTACCACTCGGAAGAGTAAATTTGCCACTTTTATAAGCACATAAACTTCGACCATGTGTTATCCTGATGACACGTGTGATCAATACTAGACCCAGTGATCCTCCGTGATACGGTCTGTCCCGAGGAGCGACCGACTATTTCTGCTGGGTATTTTCGACGCGCGTGTTGGGCGTGATGCATCAGCGTGGACACATGTCCTCAGTCCGTATGGTATTGGTTCAGCGAATGCGAACACCGTCAGGCTGCTCTCACTGTGTGCCACCAACAGCCTGACGATCAGGAACACACGGTCTGCTCTGAGTGTGAGTGATATAACAACTTAGGCACACCCACAGAGTGGTTACGCTCACCTGCTCGACTACATCATCGTACGTCAGCGTGACATGCGTGAAGTGTGCATGACACGTGTACTGCGCGGAGCTGAGTGTCACACTGATCACAAATTGGTGCGGACTAAACTATGCATATATTATCATAGATCTATGTATTGCATTCCTGCACTGAACCGGCGTAAATTTAGCGTTCCCTCCCTCGGTACTATGAAGAAAAGTATCGAGCTGAAAAAGGTGATGGCTGCGCCCCTGTGATGTGGAATGCATAGCCACTGTCGGCGACCTGTGGCACCAAATTCGCAACCAAGTGACAGCTGCTGCCGAATAGGCCATCGGGCGCATAAACTGTAAGCTGCCTGATTGGTTTGATGAGAACAGCGTAACGACTGACGCACTGGTTTCTGAGAAGAATGCAGCATTTGCTGCACATGTGGCAGACCCCAGTAACTTGCGGAAGAAGAGAAAGTTTGGGCGAATTCGGGGACGACTGACCCGAGAGATTCGCATTAAAAATGTATGTTGGACAGATAAGACGAAGCGGATGGGATGCTACGGCGAACGCTGTCAACACAAGGAATTCTTTGATTCGTTGAAATCGGTGTATGGACCGATGATGATCGGCATACATTACGCGCGATCTAATCACGAACGCAGTTGCCAAAGTGCGGGAGAAAGACCCCATACATGCAAAGAAGAAGCGGCAAGTGCGGAAGCGGCAAGCACCAATGGGTTGTACTCCTTCGACATCAAGCTCATGGTGATGTAGCACATGCGGTTGCGAGTGTCTGAGTCAGGCAGCCCTTGTGAGCCATAAGGGAGACCACTCGGGGCCAACACCGAAGCGACGACGGGTCCTGCAGAGAACGTAGGCAGAACCGGCGCAGCGTTTGTAGGTACGCTGCATTCGATTTGCTAACCGCGTGATTATATGCTGAGTCTCTTTATTTCAGGTGATGGATTTGCTATTTTATCTCATAATAATATCTACCTGAGCTATCTTGTTTGAACTTACACAAGTCGCTCAAATTAACCGAAATTAACTTTGGTAACAATTTTACATTTGTGAGATTTGCTTAAAACATATTTTCTGACTTTTTGAACATATTGCGGATATTTGGCAACCAATTTATTTAATACGCTGCTACATTGTGACCCATGCTGGGGGCTGATGTTGCCTTTATGATGTTTCCCCACCACAGTTGGGCAAAACCAACTTACACTTAAACTAATTGTCTTAAGCTGGATACATTTCATTCCACATTCATGGGTTTGTTCTGCTGACCTGTATAATCTTCTACTAACTTACACATGTTGTGTACGCTAATCGCGCACATCTTCGCTAATTTTAATACGTTTGTAGCATTTTTAAGTAACTTCTGGACATTTTGTATTTATCTCGGATCCATTGCTAACCAACTTACTTCCTATGCTAATTTAGCCGTACACTTTAACAGCTATAGTTTATCTGAAAGTGTTTTTTTCAAGTTATCGGCTGTTGCTTGATATCCCCGGTGTGGCTGTGCTGGATATTCATGTTGACAAGCTACCTATCCGTCTATTACCCGCTATATCGTCCATACTGCCTCTAAGAGACAGCTGGGGACGGGGTGCACGGTCCTTGTGGTCATGCTTGGCTCGGAGAGTGGTTCAATGTAGGCAGTGTGGAGCGGACCATGGTTCAGACACCGCATTGTGCGCACATGATTCCCCAAATAGAGCGTGCTTGTGTTTGCCATATATATATATATATATATATATATATATATATATATGGTTGACGGCATCCGGTTTCGGATTTGCCTGTCACTGTGGCCAGTCACAGGACGCCTGCGCCTACAGAGGAACCATGGATGGCTTGCGCTGCACCACTCACAGCTCCAACCACACCCAATATCCAGTGTAAACCAGAAGGAATAAGACCGGGAGGCATGCGGATGGGAGCCGGCCCACACTCCTTCACAGGCAAACACAAGCACGCTGTATTTGGGGAATCAACCGCACACAAGGCGGTAGCTGGACCGTAGTCCGCTCCACACTGAGTGCATGGAACCGCTCTTTGAGCCTAGCACGGCCACAAGAACCGTGCACCCCGTCCCCTCCAGCAACGACCAACTGTCCCCTGGAGCCAGTATGAAAGATGTAGTGGGTAATAGACAGGTAGGCACCTTGTCAACATACACATCAAGCGCAACCATACCAGGGATAGCAAACAACAGCCATTCAATTTAAACGACAAGCTGAAATTAAATAAATCCAATAATGCATACAGATACGGTGGCATAACTCTTCGCTAAATTACCATATGAAGCAAGTTGGTCAGCAACAAATCCGTGATAAGTAAGAAATGTCCACAAGTTACTTAAAATGCTACAAACGCAACAAAATTACCGAAGATAAGCGCAATTAGTGTAAGCAACGTGGCCAG